GAGCCGAGATTCCATCACTGCACTCCAGCCTGGGCAACAGAGCACGACTCCATCTCCAAAATAAAACAAAACCACCACCACCAAAAAACTTGTTCAGACTGAACACAGAACTCAAGGGCATTATTATAATGCATTACAAAGAGAATTTTCTATAGCTTTGCACAAGTATCTAAATCCTATACATCCTTTTAACAGCAATTTTCATTATTGAAGACATGACTTAAGTACAAAAAGAAAAGTCCAAACTGTCAGCTTTCAGTCCTCCACATTCCCCTCTTTAATATGGTATTTTGCACTATATACATTAATGAAAATTTGAAACAAAAAAGAACTTTAGTCAAACTCCCCTTCCTCCTCCAGCTTTATTGGAATAGTTTAAAATTACATTTCTATTTTCTAGGACTTCAGTTGCTCTTTCCATCTGACTTTTAAAAACTGATTACAGCAAATGAAACACAGTTGTCTAAGTGATATAGTATACAAAAATAACATCTTGATTTCTGTGAAAATGCATTTCTCTGCAATTCCTGAATAGCTCCAAATTATGCTAACTCTGAGCATTGATGTTTACTCTGGGTTTTAGATTTAGTCTTTGAAAAAAATGTGTTCTAAACCTTTGCCATCACCATCTATGTGTCCAACATCAACACTGTGATGAAGTTGTTCCTGTTTAGGCTTTTATTCCGATTTCTCTCGAACAGCCATTAACACGCATGTGTATCTTTTTGTTTACTCCCACTCAACTGTATGTTCTATGTAGGGCCTGATACAGATGTTACTTGATGTTATTTAATAGCTACTGAGGTCAGACAATCCAAGGCCATCATTATACTAAAATTAAAGTTATTTATGGAAGTTCATAGACACTTCCAGAATTGGTTTTACCTCCTACATGGGAACATGTTCAACAAACCCAGGACGGGCTTACTGGTCTGACTCAACTCTTCCCATTCATCAATCCCTATTCACCAGTGGCACGGAAAGGGGGTTCTTTAACAAAGCATTATACATAACACCTCTACCAAACTAAACATAAACTTTTTTTTGTAGTTAAATGCAGAAAGTCGGTTTTTTCCACCCCTTTCCTCCTTTTGCACGGCAAGTAAAGCTCACTGGCCTGGGAGTTGCCTCTATCTGCCAACCTTTGGCCAGTGAAGAGGATTCAGAGAAAATAATACAACCATCAATCAGAAAAAGGAGGGGCGACAAAGGAAAATAATTAGGCTGTAGCCTCAATTGTGCATTCCCGTGCAAGGTGCCCTGACTCGCCACAGCGGTAACAGTTGACTTCACTTGTCTTGCTGCAGTTGATGGCTACATGACCAGTTTCACCACACCTAAAAAAGAAATTAAAATACTTTTCACAATGGGCCTCAGAACAAAACTGTCTACCAAAGCAACAGTCACGATGCCGAAACAAAATGCCTGATCCTTGTCTTCATGCAATTAACCCCTAAGGTTTCACAGATATGTACACAACATTTATCAAATTATATACTTTACATGTCACAAACAGGCAAAGATTTCTGGTTACATGATAAAAGATTTATGTGTATTAATTACAGAGCTTTCTATGAAGTCTCTGGAAGTTTCAAACTGTAACACTCTTATTTTTACGTATTAAAAAAATCCAGTTGTTAGGCCGGGCATGTGGCTCAAGCCTGTAATCCCAGCACTGTGGGAGGCCGAGACAGGCGGATCACGGGGTCAGGAGATCGAGACCACCCTGGCTAACACGGTGAAACCCCGTCTCTACTAAAAAATACAAAAATCTAGCCGGGCGAGGTGATGGGCGCCTGTAGTCCCAGCTACTCGGGAGGCCTAGGCGGGAGAATGGCGTAAACCCGGGAGGCGGAGCTTGCAGTGAGCTGAGATCCGGTCACTGCACTCCAGCCTGGGGGACAGAGCGAAACTCTGTCTCAAAAAAAAAAATCCAGTTGTGAAAACTGTCCTTGTACCATAAGCCACAGGATATCAGGGCAGAATACAGAATTATATACAGACAGACTGCCAGTTACGTATGGTGAAAATTGGTCTTATCTGGTCACAGCTAACTTTCACTGAATTTATTAAGGCCCTTCCATTTATAGCTAATTCATTTCTGGAAGAATCTCTGCAATGAGTTTTCTTCTAACAACATTCTGACACCTTACCTATAGCACTTCACTTTGGTGCAGTCTTTCTGAATGTGTCCGAATTCTCCACAAGAATAGCACTTCTGCTCATCTGCATGGTCGCAGTCACGAGCCAGATGGCCTGGTTTGCCACAGTTGTAGCAGCATTGCTCTCGCTCTCTCTTGGGCTCCTTGCAGTCCTTGGCAATGTGGCCACCTCTACCGCAGTTATAGCAGGCTTCAACAATAAGGAAAAGAAACAGACCAAGACTATAAAACCTTTACAAAGTGTTATGTTTTAAATTATACAATATAAAACCTCAAAGGTGGAAATGCTATACGCAGTTGCGTGTGCTCACCTCTCCAAACTCTAGAGGGGGATAAAAAGGAAGTGTTAAATACTTACCATCCTCCTGAAGATCACAATCCTTGGCAAGATGACCAGACTCACCACAGCGATAACAGATGTCTGGAAGAGATGAGGAAACAAACTGGAAACCTGTTTTGAGCAAAAACAAAGAGAATTTGGCTAGTCAGACCAGTCTTGATACTAACAAATACTGAAGTACTTCAAATTTTTCTATTCGACAAAATACCTCTATCCGAGGTAAAACCACCTCTGCCACGGCTTCTCATTCCACGACCACGGCCTCCACCAGTAGGACATTCCCGGGCCCAGTGGCCAGATCGTCCACACTTGAAGCACTCATTGCTGCTCATGGCTGCAGTCAGATCTTTGAAATATTAAAAGTAACAACATTAAACCACTGAAAGTTCTTTTAACTTTTATTCTCCATTAAATGTATTTTTGGAAAACTATTCTGGGGTAGAAAGCTAGCTAATATATCAGTTAAAAAAATAGCTGGGTGCAGAGGCTCACGCCTGTAATCCCAGCACTTTGGGAGGCCAAGGTGGGTGGATCATGAGATCGAGACCATCTTGGCTAACATGGTGAAACCCCATCTCTACTAAAAATCCAAAAAGTAGCCAGGTAAGGTGGTGGGCGCCTGTAATCCCAGCTACTTTGGGAGGCTGAGGCAGGAGAATGGAGTGAACCCAGGAGGCGGAGCTTCCAGTGAGCTGAGATGGTGCCACAGGATTCCAGCCTGGGCAACAGAGTGAGACTCCGTCTCAAAAAAATAAAATAATCATACAACTACATGCTTATTATAGACCTATTACAATACACACGTTAATAGTTATTGATGGAAGTGATGGAATTTACAGGGTTAGGGTCAGTGAAAATCCATATGAGAACAAATAATTGGTAGTGGCCAGGCACAGTGGCTCACACCTGTAATCCTAGCACTTTGGGAGGCCGAGGCAGGTGGATCATCTGAGGTCAGGAGTTTGACACCAGCCTGGCCAACATGGCGAAATTCCGTCTCTATTAAAAATACAAAAAATAGCCGGGCATGGTGGCATGCGCCTGTAATCCCAGCTACTCAGGAGGCTGAGGCAGAAGAATCACTTGAACCTGAGAGGTGGAGGTTGCAGTGAGCAGAGATCACGTCACTGCACTCCAGTCTAGGGGACAAAGTAAGACATACACACACTCACGCACACAGAAAATGGATTCTCAGAGTGAGGAGTCAGTGAAGGAAAATACTCTCTTAACCTTAGCACCTGATATAGCACCTAGTTATACTGCAGCACTAGCCTGGTGACTGAGATATTCCTTAGAACAGGTATGTTAAAACAAATGCAAGATACAAATTTTATCTCTAGATGGTACAACTACAGTAGGCCCTCTATATCCATGGGTTCTGCATCCATGGATTCAACCAACTTGGGAATAAAAATATTCAGTGGAAAAAAAAGTTGCATCTGTATTGAACATGCAGACTTTTCTTGCCATTATTCCCTAAACAATATGCTAACAACTACTTATTCAGCATTTACATTGTGTTAGGTATTATAAGTAATGTAGAGATGATTTTAAAGTATATAAAAAGATGTGCAAAGGTTCTAATGCAAGTAGTACACCATTTTATATCAGGGACTTGAACATAGGAGGATTTTGGTATCTGAGGGAGTTCGTGGAACCACTTCTCCACAGATACCAAGAGACGACTGTATAATAAAAACACTAGGAAAATGACCATAAGTTACACCAAAGCGCTAATAATGGCACATACAGCACTGGGAAAATTTGTGTTTTGTTTTCTTTTCTTTTATTCTCCCCTTTCCAAATGTTTCTGTAATTTTACATTTCAAACAATGCAACTTAGAATTTCATAATAAACTCCTTTAATTGGGTATCATTTTAAAATAAAAATAAAACTCCCACTAAAGCAAATGGATTTTGTACTTCTTATGTAATAATCTAAAAATAAATTGAGGCTATTCTTAAAATAGAATGAAATGGAATAGAATGGAATGAAAACAATGTAACTATATTTTCACACTTCCATATCTCAATATTTTTACTCTGAATTCCATTGTCAAACAATGGCACACAAAGTCGTATTTTAAATATCCTCTCAAACCTAAGCACAGGCATCATCATCTAGAAAAACGTATTTCCAACTGAGTAAAATTGACTGGATAATGGAATTAGCTAACCCAACCACAGCACCAAAGACCCAAAAGGCAGTCAGAAAAATGGCAAGGTTCCCCACTTTCAGTAACTGTTTAACTTTTTACTAACTCTTGCCACTTGCCTACGAACATATTACCAAAAAAAATTACTTGCCTATGAGTTGTTGGTGCTTTCAGATGCACAAAACATATTTCTAGTCAGAAGAAACCAGCCAGTGAAGGAGATTAAAAACAGATTTTCACAGAATTTCAAAGAGTATCTGCTTTGTAATCATTCTTTCTTAACTATACTAGTATCAAGCATCCTAAATTATGTAAAGTATTTGCCGGTTTCCACCAAAGGGAAGAGTCAGGATTAAAAAAAAAAAAAAAAAAAATGAATGGCAGCCTGGGTGCAGTGGCTCACATCTGTAATCCCAGCGCTTTGGGAGGCCGAGGAAGACAGATCACCTGAGGTTGGGAGTTCGAGATCAGCCTGGCCAACATGGTGAAACCTCGTCTCTACTAAACATGCAAAATTAGCCAGGCTTGGTGGCGCATGCCTATAATCCCAGCTACTCGGGAGGCTGAGGCAGGAGAATTGCTTGAACCCAGGAGGTAGAGGTGGCAGTGAGCCGAGATCACACAACTGCACTCCAACCTGGGCTACAAGAGCGAAATTCTGTCTCAAAAAAAAAAAAAAAGGCATATAAAATAGTCTATCTTCTCCAGTTGAGCTCATTTAACTATTGCTCTCAAGGATTTACACATAAATGATTACTTTTAAAGTATAATCCAGACAATCTGCAAGGCCTGAATATTTTATAATTTGATATTTAAACAAGATACATCTTGTTTAAAATACAAAACCAGGCTGGGCGCGGTGGCTCACGCCTGTACTCCCAGCACTTTGGGGGGCCAAGACAGGTGGATCATGAGGTCAGGAGATGGAGACCATCCTGGCTAACACGGTGAAACTCCGTCTCTACTAAAAATACAAAAAAAAAAAAAAAAAAAAATTAGCCAAGCGGGTGGCTGGCGCCTGTAGTCCCAGTTACTCAGGAGGCTGAGGCAGGAGAATGGCATGAACCTGGGAGGCGGAGCTTGCAGTCAGCTGAGATTGTGCCACTGCACTCCAGTCTGGGCAAGACTCTGTCTCAAAAAAAAAAAAAAAAAAAAAAACACAAAAAACACAAGGCTGGGCACAGTGGCTCACACCTGTAATCCCAGCACTTTGGATGCCAAGGCAAGAGGATCAGCTGAGGTCAAGAGTTTGAGATCAGTCTGAACAACACAGTAAAACTCCATCTCTACTAAAAATACAAAATTAGGCCAGACACGGTGGCTCACACTTGTAAGCCCAGCACTTTGGGAGGCAGGTGGATCATGAGGTTAGGAGATCAAGACCATCCTGGCCAACATGGTGAAACCCTAACTCTACTAAAATAAAAAAATTAGCCGGGTGTGGCGGTGCGCACCTGTAGTCCGAGCTACTTGAGAGAGGCTGAGGCAGGAGAATCGCCTGAACCTGGGAGGCGGAGGTTGCAGTGAGCTGAGATCGGGCCACTGCACTCCAGCCTGGGCGACAGAGCAAGACTCCATCTCAAAAAACAAAAATGTTCTGTAAAAAAGATACGCACCTCAGTGGCAAAGGCAGAACTTTGCACACTAGAACAGAAGTTTTACATGTTTTGCCTTTTTTTTTTTTTTTTTTTTGTGACGGAGTCTCACTCTGTCACCAGGCTGGAATATGGTGGCACAATCTTGGCTCACTGCAACCTTAACCTCCCGGGTTCAAGCAATTCCCCTGCCTCAGCCTCCACATAGCTGGGACTACAGGCGTGCACCACTATGCCCGGCTAATTTTTTGTATTTTAGTAGAGACAAGTTTCACCATGTTGGCCAGGATGGTCTCGACCTCCTGACCTCGTGATCTGCCTGCCTTGGTCTCCTGAAGTGCTGGGATTACAGGCGTGAGCCACTGCGCCCAGCCTGTTTTGCCACTTTTAGTCACACATAATTTTACTAGAGTAAATTAATGCTAATAAAGAAAACAAAAACAAAAACAAAACACTAAGCCTTAAAAGGGAAGAAAAACATTAATAGCCTTCAAACATCATCAATATGACATGCTTTTTAAAGAGGTCTTTCAGTGTCCTTAGGTACTATGTACGCAATCTATCCTCTCCTCCCTTTGGCCAACCCTATCAGAGTGAATCAGGTGGTCTACAGTTTCCCTGGTAACTGGTCCCTTGCGATAGGCTTGTCTCTTTAACAACATTATTAAACTAACTGCTTTCCACAATGTTTTAGACTCACACTACTTATATTAGGCAGCAGGTCCCGATCCTAGCACTCATCTCATATGAGTGTATTTAGTTTAAAGGTCTTTACAGAATTCCATTATATTCCTTAGGAAAACTAAGGTAAGGTAAGACAGCTGAGAATCATGGCTCCATGAGTCTGTCTCATTGCCTATGACTGCTCCTGGCTGGATTCTCACTGCACTGTCCTGGTCTCCCCTGCTCCTTTTCCACCTGTCACAACTTTTTCCAACCTTCGTGGGCCAACTCAAATGCCAACTCTATAAAAGAATCTGACTACATCTCCCAGCCTGGAACTATCCTTCCTATTAAGTCCCAGGACACTCTGTTAATATCTGTCTAATGGCAGTACCACATTGCCTTGTATCATATTCCTTGAAGGTAGAGACCAAGTAATTAATCTTTGAATCATCGAACATCCCATACAGTTATCCTTTTAGTAGCCATCATGTAACTCAGTATTTTAATTAATTTTCTGGGGGGGGCAGGGGTCTTTAGTAATTTGGTGAATGAAACTACTGACCCAATCCAATCTAATCAAGTACTAACAACAAAGCATCTAAATTACTGCTATCACTCACCAGAGTTACTGCACCATTAATTTAAAGTAATGATGTATTCTCAATTTTGTATTCACTAAGGACTGACTACAGTCACTCTCTGAAACTCTCAGCTTTCTGAAACCATAGGTAAGATTCTGCCCAAATGAATTTAGGATCCACAACTTTCAGCTTCTGACAGGGATCAGGGCCAACCACTCAAAGGACATTTCCAATGTAACTTTTTTACAAATCCAGTAACAGAAGTATCTTCTACTTGTAATTGTTATTTTTGGGATTCCAGTCTATAATAAAGCAAAGACTAGAAAATATCAAAGGAAGAAAACTGCT